ACATTTTTTTGTATTTTAGGTCTCGATAGTCTCATAAAATTATGTCAAAATCCCTCCCCCCCTCTACAAACTAACAATATTTTTTACGGCTGGATTTCATGCCACAAAAATGGAAATTAAAATGTCTATAAATAATTTTTTATATATTTCTACATGTTTAACAGATTTTAAATTGACTACAACACCTCGAATCCATGAAAGAAATCGAGACTTTTATACCCTAGTTTCCATCATTTTCTCATGGGGAAGCCAAATGTTCCCCAATTATTATAATGGGCATAGTGGCTGATTCAGTAACTTCTTGTGGAACCGATAAACCTGACTAGTAAACATTATCTTAATCTCTTAATATAACCATTATGCGCTTAACATCTCTCCATGAGCAATAATAGCCATCAACTCTCTCTCTCTCTCTCTCTCTCTCTCTCTCTCTCTCTCTCTCTCTCTCTCTCTCTCTCTCTCTCTCTCTCTCTCTCTCTCTCTCTCTCAACAGCTTCTCTTACAAATCTCTCAAATGAATAATCATCAGATTAATATCATATGTGGTTAATCTGACTACAGTCTACAATCTATATTGAATAAAAACAAAATATAATGATGCAAGACTATTGACTTCCTTGGCAAGAACTCAACCGGTTTAGGATTAAACTGGTGAGCTGTTGACGGGCGAGCGTGTGCCATACCAAAGCGCCGACTAATTTTTTTTTTAATTTACTAAATTTACTGTAAAAAATAACATTGTTGACGTCAATTTAACCTGAACTCCCCCTCCCCCATGTCAACAATTGTCAAACTTCTTCAAACCTCCTCCCCAACCGCTTATTTATTATAATAATATTCTTCGATTTTTTTAATAAAAAAAGCCTTCCGAAATGAAGCATTGCCTCTAACATGTTTATTGTTGTTGTTGTGGGGTTTAACGCCATTTTCAGCACAAGATAGGCTATACATGACAGCCAGTATAAATAGAGGAAAAAGAAACCCCGGAAAACCCTGAAAAGAATCCCCGACCCACGAGAAGCTACCGGCAAGTTTTCCCACATACCCACATTTGCCGAGTCCGAGACTCGAACCTACACAGGCAAGTGAGATGGCAGTGATCCGTAACGGTGAGCACTTTAAACCACTAAGCCATTCTGGACTCCTCTAACATGTTTGTTAATTATAACGTATTTAGTTTTGAAGAAGTAACGATAATCAATGATGAAAAGAATATTTAATGCTAAGAATTGTACCTTGAATTTTATTGAACGTTGACATTCGTTTAAATCATCGTATTATAGAGAGATGGAACAAATTAATCTTTAAATGTTTTACATAATTTCGTTTTTAGGAATGTTGTATACTATATTTTCATTTAGATGTATGGACTATGCAGTCTTAAATAAGGAATTTTTATCTATCCTAATGTCTCGTGGATCCCACAAGACAGCACTGAAGGAGAAGCTTTCCCAAGGGAACAAAGTTAATAGTAGATATTGCACAACGTAACGTGGCATCAAATAATTTCAGCACGTGACATTTTCCTATGGAAAAACGTGTAATGATCAAATCCAGGTACAGTATTCCGGAGTCAAGGGAATGAGTACTGCCATAAAACAAATTTCTGCAATTAGCCAATCGGAACACTAAACTATAAATCGCTACTCCTCTTAACTTTAAGGATTGCCATGAAACCTACGTACACATTCATCCCTAGGACTATCTAGTTCTAAATTAATATGGTGCTGCTCCAACATCCAATATGGCCGACATAACGGCCAGCTTGAAAATCTTTTTTTTTTTTTTTTTTACTGATTCTCCTGTTGAAACGAAATACATCTGCAAAAATAACGTAATATAAATCAATACATCTTATTTAGTTTAAAGTGCATGCGCATTATGATTTAATGATCAAATATTTAATTCAGAATTATTTACGCCTTATGCACAATACGTGCACCTACTCAGAAATATGGCTTTAAAGTCTCACGATTGGCAGGGCTTCAGAACATTTCATTTTGTATCTACATGTATCGATTTTAAATTTAAGATCGGAATCTACAAGGCCTAGTGTATGCATAAGTTGAAGTAGTGCAATCCGTAAACGGTATGAAAGAGATGCAAAGAAACGAACGCCCACTACAACCGACAAACATGGACATGTATAAGTATTTAAAGGAAAAGAAAGTCACAGAGTTATTGTTACTATGGAAGAAAAAAAAAGAAGCAGAAAGAAAATAATAAGGCGATGATGATTACGATTGACGGCTTTAACTTTAACCTTATTAAATGAAGTCTTCTGAAACGATATATTCAGGGTTATTCACAATGTGCGTGTGTCCATCTCCATTTAAAACAAAATGGAGAATTTCTGAGTATAGGTAGGATTCTATGAAGAAATAAATGCACGGCTTAAAAATATAATGCGCGAAAATCGAGATATCCGTTAATTACTTTTTGCGCGAAACCCGCAATGGCGCGTTTTTAGAACAAACCTTGTACTGTAGCTTACTTTAATGAAAGGCCTGGAGGGACCCCTAACCCTTCCTACATAGTTAAAATTCATCGTATTGGCAAGAGTAAAAGATGGCTGAGATTAAAGAAACAAATCCAGATATAAAATTGTGTGAAACAAGTCAAACTGACTAGTAAAAGAAATCAGAAAGAATAAAATATCCACTGAAGTTGGACGCATCTTAAGTAATTTGATGTGTGTGTTTGTGAGTGTGTTTGTTTGTGAAGGACGCCGAGAAGATGAGGAGGAACCCAGGAAAAGAGAGGGAAATGAGGTAGTGAGATAAGAGAAGACGGAACTCACTGTAACAAATGGATACAGATAATGATAACGATTTTTGTGGGTTATATCAAAGATATCAGTGTCGATGATGGAGAGTAGAGCCATTTTAACATACATGAAGAGGATCCATCTTTCTATCTATAAGTGACTGTTTCGAGGGCACCCCCCCCAACATAATAGACCATTTCATGGAGACTTCGACAAACTTCGTAATTGCTCGGAATTTTGATCACGTGGCGGGTGGTCTATATCTATATGTGACTGTTTCGAGGGCAAATAAAACCCCAACAGAATAATGACAGAGAAGGAATGCTAATAAAGGTATAGAGATTAAAACTTAAAATATATAAAATCTTTGGTTTGGTTTCACCTAAGTACACGAAAGTTTATACCGTATCCAGGCATAGAGAGGCAAGTGTCATATCAAGAGACACGTCACAGTTGCCTAAGATCATTGAAGAGGTTAAATCAATATCAGTCTCAAGCTATTTTTTTTATTCAGATTACTGCAAATTCAAAAATGATAGTAGAGGACTGAATTTTGCATTATTTAAATGTCCGAGGAGGATCAAATTTGGTATTATTTGTTTTCTTCGGATAAAGAATATCTACGAAATGAAAATCCCTCACGATAAACAGTATCACTGATTAGGATTTAAGAGAAACCGTGTTACCTCCTCACATTCAATTCCGACTGTGTTTCCTCCGGACATTCTATTCCGACAAACAGTGTTTATTTACAGCACTTACACATGCATATTTGTGTACGGCCTTTCTTTAGCCTTTCATGGCCAGGTATTTAAGTGCATTCCATGGCAACGGGTAAGGAAAAAAAACTAGCAAGGATTCTTTTCTTAGGTAACTAGATAATCAGCTAATATTAGATGTAGACACGGGATAACGGTAAATGAACATAGAAGCACCAAATTTCGGGTTTTCCGTATCGTATAATTTTTTTCTTCATCTTCAGAACGACTGTCTTTATCAACCGGAAAGTTAAAACTTATAATATCTAATACAATATGGATTGTGAAAAATCAGTTTCATTCAGAAAATGTATTTCATGACCACGATTATTTGGATTTTCTTCCTGGTCAAAGTTTCACTTAAAACATGCTTTATGCTATTAATTTCCTTTACGTATGATTTGCCTGGATATATTTTCACAGAAATGTTTGAATTTTTCTTTTTGTAAGGAATCGAAAAGCCATAATAATCAATGGGTGAATAGCAATTTTTGGGAAAACAAAAATGTATGATAGAAAATAATACTCGATTTAACAATTTCTATATCTTGTCACCCACCCCACCCCCGCACTTTTTTTTTCTTTTTCTAACGTCGGACAGAATAGCTCTGTACTAATTTTCATTGTTATTGTCTGGCTGCAAACATTGTACAATAAATGCATCAATTTAGAACTTGGCGTTGTGCGATCTCTGTGCTAATGATACTGTGGAACTCAAAGGGAGCCACAATTTTGTTTTCTCGACTGCTCATTGTGTCGTCACTGTTATCATGGTCTCTACAACTGTGTTGGTATCATCATTCGTTTAGGTGCAGCGATAACAAATTTTTTTTCAATATAGATTCTATGACGGCCATGATGAATGTCAGACTGGCACATTATTAATTTACTAGCATCTCCAGGCTACAACATCACTACCATGAACAACTTATTATACGCCCTCCCATGTTTAATAGTCCTTTATGTTGGCACTAGGACGGTATGGTTGACTTGGGATATTATTGACCAAACAGTCTTTGTGATTTGGTCAAAGTATTCGGTTTTGAACTGAAGATGCAGATACCATTATTTTGTTATTTGATTTCGACTTCTGACCCAGGAATCTATACGTTTCATAATTTCTATAACTGCAAGCCATTTACAATGTGTAGTCAACGAACTATGAGACACAATGAACTGACCGCTTAAAACTTTGTCCACGTTTTAACCACAAAATCCAAAGACATCTTCCATGGCTCAGACAAGCTTTCGTCAAGGTTCTGAAGCTATTAAGCAATGAAAAAGTAAGATTCATCTTTTGGTTAACGTGACCTAGACCTCTGACCTTTTGGCTCCAAAATTAACAAGCTTCTTTCTAACCAAACTTTTAGTCATCCATAAGCTAGACGGCCATGTGTCTGATTCAGAAATAAAGTTATTTTGTAGAGACCATTTTTCTTCTTTCAGTTGGTGAAATTAACCTATTTTGTTGTACCGCTTAAGTGGTCTAGTGGTTATAGCGTCCGCCTCGGATGTGGCAGGTTGTGGGTTCGATCCCCGTCCGAGTCATACCAAAGACTTACAAAAATGGTACTAACAGCTGCCTCGCTTAACGTTCAGCATCAAGAGGTTAATGTTAGGACTGGTCGGCCTGGTATTAGAATAATGTGACCGGGTGGGACATCATGCTACATGTCCGGGCAGTGCCGGACTTAGGCATAGGTTAAACAAGCTACAGCTTAGGGCCCCAAAGTCTCAGCTCAGTCTGAAGAGGCTCCTCAAATTTATTTTATACTAAATATGGCCTCTACAGCTTCCTATAGCTTAGGGCCTCGCTTTGTCTAAATCCGGCACTGTGTCCACGGCATGATGTTTCTGTGCTAGACATCACTGTCACACTGAAGACACTGTAACGATATGACTGAAAAATTGTTATAGCTACATTAAAAATCCAAATCTCACACACACACACACACACACACACACACACACACACACACACACACACACACACCTCTAACTTTTGACCCTGAAATTCACAGGCTTCTTCCTTGCTCAATGTGAAAGCAATCCAAAAAGGCTGGTTCATGTACATCACATAGAACTACTACAATTATACAAAAACTATCCTTGTTTTGGTCAAAATAACATTGGCCTTTGACCTTTTGACCTGGTACAGTTCTTCCTCATTCCATGTGCAAACCGTCCACAAAGTTTGGTAACTGTACATGGTGGACATTTCAAGTTATTGTGTGGAAAATAAATTGCAACACACAGATAGAAGGACAAGACGATAAAATAATACAAACTGGCGTCCAAAAAGTCTTTCAATGAATATTCTATGTCTGCATAACCATTAGCTAGGAGAAGCAGCGATAACAATTTCCAGCAGGCCAAGTAACAAACAGCTGTTGATGGATGACTGATGAATGACATCGAATAAGCTCTTCTGGTATTCTACCAAAAGAGATACGACGACTGACAGTAAGATCTCGATGCAACAGAATGCCTTCTCACCTGTTTGCCATATGCTTTAAAGTCACTGAGTGTAACAAGGTGTTTACATGTAAATAAGGCCTCCTTGCAAACAAGAAAATTTTGAGTAGCCAACAAAATACAGATCGATATGAAGGAAAATAAGTCACTCAAGCGTGCAAATTGGGTCAAGGTGACCTGGTTCTGGGTAAGGTTCGGTTAAACTCCTCCTGATGCAGTTACATAATACTTTTCTCGAGTACAAGTGAAATAGAGTTAAAGATATCGTGGGTGTAATGAAGAGAAAGCTGAAAATCCAAGCCACCCGAGGAAGAATATTAGGTATTACTGGCTTATTTTTGTATATGGTAGGGCTACTCAGTTGATATGATGTGCATTCACGCTGCAAATTTCAAGAGTAAGAAGAGAAAGATTATCGGGGCTATAATGAACACAAAGCTGAAAATGCAAGACACTCAAGGAAGATATTGGGTTACACTGAAATAGTTTTGGTATGCTTTAGTTATTCTCCTCGAGACATATCCTCATATCAAATTTCATGTGTGTATCTGAAATAATGTTGAAGACATTGAGGATATAATGAATGGATAGCTGACAACTAAAAACTCGCTCATGCATGAACATTTGGGTCAAACTGACTTGGTTATTATATGGCTGATTTACCAGTATTCTCCTTAAGATGACTCCCATACCAATTTTTATGAATAACGGCGAAATAGGGTCCAAAATTGGAGAGTGTAAACACTGAATTGCTGAAACTTAGGTCACTTGAGCATAAAGTTTAGGTCACATTGCCTTAATTTAAACAAGGCTGATTTATTTTCTTTAGCTGCAAAAACATACCAATCTGTTCTGTCTGTGAAGGTGAACTGGAGTATGATATTGTGGATGTGGATGTAATAAACAGAAATATGACAATACAAAAGTGACTAAACTGAAAACTATTATACAGTTCAAGTTTTTGTATGGTTGATTAATGTTTATCCACATAATTTTCATGAATGTATAGTTGTATATGAAATAGGTTTCACATTATTAAGGATATATATATATATATATATATATATATATATATATATATATATATATATATATATATATAAACAGCAATAACAATACAAAAGTCAATGAAGCATGAAATTGGATACCATAAATTTAATTAGAAATACAAATGCCACTCAAGTTTGCAAATTAAATCAGAAACATAATTTTGGTATGATTGAGTAATTTTAAGACAGATAAAAAAACAGAATTATCATAATCCAAAACAAAAGTTCCTTTAATCTTTAGGAAAATACAAGTGGAAGAAAAAATCCAGTGACATACACAATATATTATGTATTTACATGAAGTCAGATAAAGAATTATAAACTAATACATGAGAAAATAAATTTGGATACTATATCATTAAATAAATAATAATAATAATACATCTTGATGCGTGGCTTTTCAAATGGGTGAGTTTTTTTAAGCAAATGTCATATGAAGTCTCACCTAAATCCAACAAGAAACTCACCCACCTCCAAAGAAAGAAATACAGTTGCCCTCACTATTAAGTAACTCTGTTTATTGATGCACATATTATAACATGGGCATGGAATTACATCCCACTAAATGCCCTGAATTCTTGTTAATCATTCCTACTAAATGATTTCACTCATTACCTGATGAGAACCAATGAAAATGCAATTTCACATCATTGTATACCACATTCCTGTGCTCTATGAATCATTATGCAATTTCACATCATCCTATACCATATTCCTGTGCTCTATGAATCATTATAACACAGACTTGTTTGAACATCCCTCAATATAAGAATCCTCAATTTTATTGCTTTTTAGGATTCTTCATTAATTTTTATGCATCATTAAAACAGTCCTGTTGGAACATCCCTGAATAATAAGAATCTTCACTTTAATGGCTTGTTATACCTTTAGTACAAGTCTCCTTACTATTATGCATTATCATTATTCTTGCTGGAGCCTCCACCAACAACAGTCTCAACTTTTATGCACCTATATAACAATCGTGCTAAAACATTCCTCAGTCCAAGTCCCCACTTTTATGTATCTATCTAACAGTTGTGCTGAAACATCCCTCAGTCCAAGTCCCCACTGGTATGTATCATGGTAACCAACATGTTGGAACAAATCACTCAGTCCGTGTCCCCACTTTTACATATCACAGTAACAGTCATGTTGGAACATTCCTCAGTCCATGTCCCCACTTTATGTATCATTATAATAGTTCTGTTTGAACATCATTCAGTCCAAGGCCACTTTTATGTATCACTGTTAACAGCCTTGATAGAACATCCCTCAGTAGGAGTACCCACTTTTCTGCAACATTCTGAAACATTTTCTGCCTTATCTACCCAAACCTGTATTACATTTGTATTTACATATAGGTAAAAATATGTAGAAATTTAATTTGCTTTTAGTTTCTAAATCTTCACTTAAATAAGACCACCACACTTTAAAATATATTTAGGAACAACCCATAAGAAGTACATGAGAGCACGTCTTCACATCGTCATTGTTCAAACCATTGCAGTCATTGATGCTACAGGTCAGTAACCTCAACTTTACAACAAAATGTTTCATGGTAAATTCAGTACTGAATGTGAATTGTTCAGACTTATTAAAATTTTGGTTGAAATTTAGAAATTTTAAAAAACCACACATTAAATTACATGTTGATTAAATGGTTTCCATACTTGGTACATGTGGCTCATGGTGTTGAAGACAACTCTGTTTAAACTTTTTAAGCAACCCCCTTTGTGGTCTGTCAATATTTTTCATTTATATTATTTAGTTTTGATATCTGTCAGCCACATATCCTCACATATCAATTTGTGGTGGTGGTGGTGTGTTTGTGTGTGTGTTTGCAAGGGAAGGCATAGGTGAGAGGTCTGTGGATTGGATACACAATTAGGGTACTGGGGGTCAAAGCTCTCAAAAAGAAGAAAGGATGGTGAAAGCATTTTAATAATTTCCAAGGCAGTTGTTCATGTTTGCTACCTCCAACCCTCACCCACATCTGCTGAGGTTAAATGATGAAATAAAAAATCATATCTACAACCTTTGACAGATAAATCCATGAACATAAGTACCCATCACTTGTTTTAAACACAAACATGAAAACTGAAACCCATAACAAACGAAACCACAGTAACTCCTTTTGAATTTTGATCTTAAGCTATGCATCCTATTTCATCATAGCGAACATTATTAAAAAAACACCCATCGCTCTATCGAGAATCACAGTAACACTGATGATTTTTATACATATATATATTACTTGTATATTTATAATTGTCATATACAAAGGTTAGTTATATGCATATATTAGTTAACAAGACATGAAATTATAACCCAACGTTCATTTAATCATTGACTTTTAACAGTTACAATCAACATCATAAAGTGAATTTCATTTAAATACAAACACAGCCGATACAGTTAAGTCTCATTACATCAATATACATGGAACAAACATGCACATTAGTTTACTGTTAGAACAGAATACATATGCTCTGACAATAATGTTAATCTTAATTAACAAATGTACAAATTACCTATGTAAACAAAGTTACAGCAACACTGTTCCTAGGAATGAAATCCACTGACCAGGTCTTAATCTGACAGAAATCAACTGACCAGGTCTCAATCTAACATAAATCAACTGACCAAGTCTTATTCCTTATAGTAAGGAACCTAATCAGTCATGATTTCTGATCTACCAGTAACTCCCTGATGTGACTAAGTGTGCATAACACATCAGGTACTTGTATTGATAATGGTGGGGCTTGACATGATCACGTTTAACAAGATGGCAACATTTTGTCAGCTCCACTGTTGGAACAAAAAGTGAGAAAAGGGTGAACTAATCAGCGGTCATGTTCTGGTTTGATGATCCGAGAAAATATGCCATGATAAATTAATACCAATAGTTCTCAAGAATTATATACCAGACTGCATCAAAGTCTACAACAATGTTATTGTTATGGGTTTAACACCATTTTTCAGCACAAGATAGGCTTTACATGGTGGCTAGCATATTTAGTGGAG